CCTGGGTCAGCAGCGGCCTCCCAGGGGCCTCATTATGGGACCAGGCTGCTGAGAAGCCCTGAGGCTGCCCCACCCAGCAGCTGTTGAGAGAGGCAGGTGGGCTAGGGGGCCTGGGGGAGTGTGCCCAAGACCTGCTGTGCCCTACAGAGAGGAGGCTTGGAGGAAAGGGTGGGGCTGCATCCAGAGGTCCAGGCCCCGACTGCACCTGTGGGCAGAGCAGGGTGGATTCGGGCAGCCTCCGGCCCGCCCACCACCAGCGCTCCCCTCCACAGCCTGCCCCGGGCCAGGGAACAGCTCGGCCTCATCCTGCTGATGCTTCAGGGCAGGGCAGGCTCCAGGCAGCCACCCGTGCTGGGCACACAGTCATACCCAGATCCAGGGCTGGCTGGCAGCCTTTGGGGCGACAGCTCTGAGGATGGATGTAGTAGCACGAGGACAGGGACCCCAGCTTTGGGAGTCAGAGGTGAAGCCTGGGGCCTCTCTGGAAGCTGTCGGTCTCTGTGGACGCCAACCCCTGCCCCACATTTCCACCCCTATTCCCCTCCCGAGGCTGAGAAGGGGAACAGTGGACGCCAGTGGAAGGCACACTCCCCAGTCTTTGCTGGGCCCCTGAGGCCCCCTCTCTCCCCAGCCTAGCCTCCCTCTGCCCTGCCTCTCCCTTTGCTCCCCTGCTGAGGAGGGACAGGGCAAAATCTCACCCTTCCTACACTTGGAGGAAAGGGATTGCTTGTCCTGGGGTGGGGGCCGGCAGAAAACCTTGTTACTAGGGGAGCCCAGCCCAGACCCTCACCCACTCCCTGCCAGGCCGGCTGCTGCCCAGGAGTCCTGCCCCCTGTACCCCCTCATGGAGCCCTGGGGCCCGGTAGGTGGGCCTCACCCTGCTGGGGATGCTGCAGCCACAGCACCCGGGCCCCTCGAGGCTCTGGGGGGCGGTCAGAGGGACCCAAACCTGCCTTTCCATAAGATCTGTTTCCAGCTGGGCCTCAGGAAGAAGTGGGTGAGTGGGCCCTGAGAAGGAAAGGGGGAAGGAGGGGGAAAGAGGGAGGAGGAAGGAGGGAGGGGAAGGGGGGAGGGAAAGGGGGGAGGGAAAGGGAGGAGGGGAAGGGGGCGGGAAGGGGAGAGGGGAGGGAGGAGGGGAAGGAGGGAGGGGAAGAGGGGGGGAAGAAGGGAGGGGGAAGGAGGGAGGGGAAGGAGGGAGGGGGGAGGAGGGAGAGGAAGGAGGGAGGATGCAGCTCACCACCAGGGCTGACTGGTTATTGCATGAGGCTATAGTGAGCATGGCCTCCACGGCCCTGGAGAACCCCGCCAGGTGGGAAGAGCTCACACCCTTGGTACAAGTGGAGAAAGTGAGGTTCGGGAAGGCTGCCCACCACTGGTCAGGGTCACCTATCCCCAACAGTCCAGGGCAGGCTCCTCCGGAGTCATGGGTGCCAGCCCAGCCTGGGGGCCCTGCCCAGGGAGGGTGTCCTGGTCCTGCCCACTGCCAGCCCTGCAGTTCTGGGGGAGCGGCGGTCCTGGCCACCTTCTGGCCAGAACACAGGTCCCAATTCGGGATGCTGGTGGCAGCCGTGGTCACGTCCAGCCTGCTCAGCTGAAGCCAGGCACCGAGATCCCCTGGCAGGTGATGGGGCTGCCCGGAAGGAGAGATGGAAGGGCCGCTGGGTGGAGACCCCCTCACACAGACAGGCCAGTGGGTGAACCCCGTGGGCAGAAGGAGAAGCATCTGCTTTGAGGGAGCTCATCCTACCCTCAACATAGGGTGGGGCTTCTGCTCCCCTCCTGGGGCTTACAGTTTGGAGGAGGGGCCTGTCCTGAGACCCAGGGTCACGGAGAGATCAGGGGAGGGTGCAGAGACAGGGGACACGGTGACTGTAGGTGGACACCCCAATTCCATGCATCCAGTGAGAACTTCCACGGGCAGAGGCCACTGTCAGAGGTGGGGACAGTCAGGAAGAGCAGCCTCAGGAACAGTGAAGAGCAGGACCCTTCCTGGAGGCCCGAAGCCTTCTCCCCAGCCCTCCTGCCCACGACCTCCTCCCACAGGGACCCACCCTGCAAACGCTGGGCCAGTACCCCTGCCCCTGAGAGGCAGCCAGATCAGAACCTCCTTGGAGGCCGGGAAGGTGAGTCTTCCCTGCCTGACACTTCGAGAAAGGCCCAGAGCTGCCCCAGGTTAAGGACACTCCACATGTGTAATCCCAGCACTTCCAGAGACTGAGGGAGGATGATCAGCTGTGGCCAGGAGTTCGAGACCAGCCTGGACAACATAGTCTCCTGTCTCTACAAAAATAAAATTAAAAGTTAGCTGGGTGTGGCGGTACATGCCTGTAGTCCTAGCTACTTGGGAGTATTGCTTGGGCCCAGGAGTCTGCATTGAGCAGTGATTACGCCACTGCACTCCAGCCTGGGTGACAGAACGAGACCCTGTTTCTAAAACGATAAATACATTAAAAAGGACACTCCAGGGAAGGTCTTGGTGTGGCCCCAGAGGGGGCATGATCAGCAGCCTGTCCCCAGCAGTAGAGGCCTGACCCCTGCCTGCTCCCCGCAGAGGTGGGGTAGGAAAATGACGAGATGGATGCTATGCTGAGACCAAGCCCCAGGAGAGGGGACCCAGGCCAAGCTGCTCGATGAGTCCCTGAGGACAGCGGGAATCGGCCTCCAGGACCCCCTGGGGGCTGGGCTGGGGAGGGAGGAGTCTTCCCAGGGCTCACCCCGTTCTTGGCACAGGGTAGGGGAAGGAGGTGGATTTTGACCTGAGGGAGAAATTGATCAGATTTGACTGGATTCTGGGCATCAGCCTTGATCACATTCTCTTCCTGCCCCAAACTGGCATCAGGAAGCCTAGGGGGCATGGGATAGGTGGCAGGGACCACCCTGATGGGGGAGGCCCGCCCAGAGCCCTGCAGGCCGAGGCCTGGGGCCAGGCAGGAGTGCTCACCAAGGAGAGGTTGCCTGATGCCCGAATGATACAACCTGAGGTGCCCCAGCCCCGCCCCTGTCCATTCAGCCTGGGGAAGGACTGCCCAGGAGATCAGGGTCCGGAGACCAAGCCCAGGTGCCAGAGGGTCCCAGCAGGACCCGGGTCACTGGAGGTGCCCCACATGCATAGCAGGCAAAGCAGATGGCAGGTGGAGGGACAGGAGTCCCGTAGGAGGGGCTGCAAGGAAACCCTCGTCAACCTCATTTCTGACCCAAGGTACCACGGCTGGGAGGGTCAACCTTGGGGCAAGAGGGCTCTGGGCTGGAAGGGGCCAGGCACCCTGAGACCCGGGACCCGAGGCAGGGGACCCGTGGGAAGATGGAGGCCATGAGCCGAGGCCACAGCAGCTGAGGCTCTGAGAGTTGAGAGTGAGCTGGGGCTCCAGATGGGTGGACGCCTCGGGGTGCAGACCTTGACGCACCTGTGGCCTGGAGCATCCCTTCCCACCCAACCCAGGCCCTCTGAGGGTCTCTGCCAAAGCCCTTGGGTCCCCTGTACTGGGCCATCTGCAGCTACCAAAGCAGCCCTGGAGCAGGTGGGAGCCTCAGGGTCAGAGGTCGTGCAAACATGTCCTTGGACCCCTGGGCCTCTGACCAGCGCTCCTTCCTCACAGGAGAGCCTGTGGTGAGCTGAAAGCGTAACTGCTGGGGGTCCCAGGCCATGCTGGGATCAGTGAAGCCAGGAGGCATCAGCCAGGCCTGCCCTGCGCCCTCCTCCCTCCTGGCCCTGGCACCCCCCGCCCCTCCCTCTCCCAAAAGTCTCTGTCTCCCTCCTCTCACTCCAGCCTCTCCAAGATTCTCTGCCTGGGACTTCCACCCTCTGTCCTGAGGCAGGACCCTGGCCTGGCCCTTGGTGGCCCCGCCCTCACCACCTGCCACAGCCTGGCTGGTGCCCCCACCCCGTAGAGGCTCAGCCACAACCTGTCCCCATGACCCCACCAGAAATAAACAGTCTGTGCCAGGGGGAGCCAGATCTGCCTGTCCGCGACCACAGGGTGATCATGAGTGGGGAGTGGGCAGTGGGCAGGGCCGCTGGGAGCAGCCCGGGCCCCAGGCCCAGGGAGAAGCTGAGTACCAACGCTTGCCCTCATCTAATCCCCATGGCCGCCTCCCTCCCAGCTGGGTGCTCTCCTGGCTCCTGTGCTCTCAGGTGGACAGAGCCAGACCCATCCTCACACACAAGCCACCCTCCATGGTGCCCAGCAGAAACTGCCCAGGCTGGGGAGTAGGGACCACGGGGTGACAGGAGCCCTCGGAGGCCTGTGACCGAGGGACCTGCCCAGCTCCACAGCACCTGGCACCCCTTCCCTGCTAGGAGTGCCCTTCCCTCACCACTGGCTCTTCTCAGAGCTGTGGCCCTGTTTCCCTGGTTCACCTTGAGCTCCCCTGGAACCCCTAACTCAGGGGCGTAGGCCTAGGCTCCATGTGGCTGACCCACGTCCCACAGTCGGGAACCCTGACTGGGGGTGGGCACGGAGGTGGGGAGTGGCCTCTGGTATCAGGTCTCCACCTGTGCCCTGCAGGAGCCAGCCCCTCATGCTGAAGGGGCCTTCCGGCTTCCGGTCTCTGTGGGGAGTTGTGCTCAGCCTGATGCTGCAGTGACCCAGGGTCCTCCCAGGCTTGGCCCCTGCCCAGACCTCACCGGCCTGGGGAGCTTCCATCCAGCCCCTCAATGGGCAGGTGGGGACACTAGCCTTGACCTTCCATGGCCGAGCTGGGCACTTCCTGAAGCCAGGCTGAGCCTCTGAGGTGGTCCACAGTGCTGGCATCCTGGAGCTGAGCATTCCAAGGCTGTGGGGGTGGCGTGGGGGTGGGGGTGGGGTGGCTGTGGGAGTAGGTGTGGGGGTAGGGGTGTGTGTCGGGGAACCCCACAAGAGCCAAGGCAAGGGTCTGAGGCCTCCGTCTGTTCTCATATAAATATAGAATTAGAAAAACTTGGAGATCTAGTTGCAGAGCTATTCCTAAATATAATCATAATCACATAGCTATTCACATGCAATCATTAATGCATACATACAATCATATAATCTTTAATTTTACCAATAAGTCTCAGGTCAAGAAGTATGGACTGAGGTGGCATCGGGAAAGAGGTGACCCTCAGGCAAGATGGTCTAAGCCCTCTGTCCCGCCCATGTAAGGGCTGCTGGAGGGCGCCTCGGCTGTGCCAGCGTCAGCGCTGGGAAAGCACCTGCTGTTCAGCCAGCTAGGGAAGGAGACGTCCAAGATGGCCAAGGTGTCTCCATCCTCGGTGGGTGAGGAGAAAACGCCGTGCCTTCAGGCCCTGGTGCTGTCGGGAGGCCCACAGACAAAGGGGCTGGTCTCTGCGCTGCGCCTCAGCTACACGTTCCTTGTCTACTTTCAAGTTCCGCTTCTGCACCTGCTTCCTCTCTTTCTTCTAAGATAAAATTAGTGATAGTAACACAAATTGTAATGCCTTTTATATCCTTGACACATATGAAAAAAGTGCTGATGCACTAGGTTTCCTCCTTGCCTCGGCTACTTGGAAGACCTGGGCCCTGTCACCAACCTCCGTTACCTCACCCTACCCACCCTGCCCCCTGCTTTGTACTCAGTAAAAGTCAGAGCGTCCAGGCCCTGGGGGCACTGCTGGACTTCAAGCTTCAGCAGCAGCGGACCCTGGGCCCAGACTCTCTTTTCTCTGTCTCTGTGTCTTGTGTCTTTATTGTCACTGTCTCTCTCCACACCTGTAGAGAGGAACTCACCGGACCCCGTAGGGCTGGACCCGATAGGGGTGGGTATGGCTGTGGGGGAGACATTCTGGCCCCTGGGGGGTGCTGTGCTGGGCTGCCCCCACCGCACCCGGGCCTGGATCCCTGCAGCAGTCTCAGGGTGCTGCCACTCTGACCCTGACGTGTCCAGAACACTCCACACAGTGTCTCAGTGACCCCGGGTACTGCCCTCCCCTACTGAGGATCCCAGGAGTGAGCCTCTGGAGCCGTGAGACCTGGGCACCTCTGGAGGGCAGGCATAAAGGCTGCCCCTCCCCAATACCAGGCTGCGGGAGCTGATCCCAGGCCACAGGTGGGTGGGGCCAATGAGGTCCTCATGAGTTTATTCAAGGCTGGTGGACATTCAGTCAAGCTCAGGTCCCACCAGTCACTGGGACAGCCTCGGTCCTTGAGGGCAAACCATCGGTTGGGACACTGGACAGGGGCACCAGCGCCCCCAGAAGATGCTGGCCAGGGCCCCAGGGTGGAGACGGCTTCCCTCCAGGAAAAGGTTGGGGGTAGTTCTGGGAGCCCAGGCCCAGGCCACCAGGCTTGTCTCTGACCTGCCTGTACCGCAGGCAGGAGGATGGCCTTGATGACTTCTTAAGGTAGAGGCCAAGTCTTTGCATTCTATGACTCAAAGCAACTTGTTCCCAGAGCAGCGGGGTGGGGCAGCCAGCTCCCTCCTGCCCAGCCCTCCCCCAGGCTCCACCGAGGTCCTGCCTGGCAGCGGAGCTCAGAGCAAAGGGAAGGACAAGGAGAGTTCGCAGGGGGTTCCTTGTCCCTGCCTGAGCTGCAAGAGGCTCCTCGAAGGCCCTGCCTGCCCCTGTCCACCTGGTACAAGCACAATCCTGGTTGGGGGAGGAGGGGAGAAATCTGGCCTGAGTTCACCAGGAGCAGGCAACCTGCCTGGCCCTTCCTGGATTTGGTGGGAGATGAATCTCCAGCCCTCGGCGGGCCTAGGTGCTCCCAGGAATCAGGGCTTTCGGGCAGCTCTGCACTCATTCAGCCATGCCTGGGGAGTGTCCCTGGCGGCCCGCTGGCCATCTTGACCACGGAGAATAAGGAGTCGGTTCCCGATCTGAGCATGAGTTCACCGTTTCTTCCAACTCTCCAGGTGCCACCGGTGACCAATTTGTCTTGGTAACGACTGGTCATGGAGAAGGAGGGGGCATAGGGCCTGCCGGGCCTTCTGCTGCCCACCAGAAAGTGGGGGAGGGAAGGGGTTTGGTCCTTGCTCCAGGCATTGGGTTTGAGGGCAGGACACCCGAGATCCCCTGGGAACCCCTTTGGCTATGGGAAGACCTTGCCTCAATCAGGCTCCCCAGTCCCTCCCTGGCCAAGCGGCCCAGACCTGCCCAGACTGGAGCCATTCAGACCCAGAGCCATGTCTCCCAGGTCTCCCTGCCCTGTGCCACCTGCCACCATGCCTTGGGGCTTGCTCACTACCAGGAGGCCCCTTGTCCTGGACCCACGTGGCCTGGGTAGGGACCTCCAGCCAGGCCACTCAGTGAGCCGCTAGCCCCACCAGGACCGAATGACAGCCAGGACTCAGCCGGCAGAGGGCAGGAGGCCAGGCTTGCAGTGATGCCCCAGCCACAACTGTCTTCCTGCCCCTCCCTGTCCTGACGGGAGCCCCCAGCTCTGTAGCTGAGCCAGGCCTGGGGGCCATGCGGGGTCCTGGGGTTAGACACCCACCCAAATGTTCCAACAGACTTCTCTCTCAGCCTAGGGCACAGATGGCATCTGAGCTAGCAGGGCAGTGCTGCTCTGGGCAGGGGCCCATGGGAGGCCCGGTAGGGGGCGGTTCTGAGGCCCCTTGCCCTGCTATCCTCCTTCTCCCTGACTCTCAGGGGCCTCCCCACTCCCTGGGACTCACTCCCTCATCTTGGCCTCTGCCTGGGACGCTACCCAGCCACCCCCAGCAGCCCCAACACCAATGCTGCCTACCAGCTGCTGCTGCTACATAAGCATCTGCCCCAGGTCCCCAGGCCCCCAAGGCTGGGCTCCTTGACCCCCAGGCCACTGGGGAGGAGAGGCAGTGCAGGCGAGCTCAGTCCCAGGGCCCATGTGCCCCAGCAAGGGGTGGGCCACAGAACCCAGGAAGAGAACGGGCTCCAGCCCCCAGTGGTCGCCAGTGGCCCCCCAGAAGCCCGCCACCCCGTCCCAGTCACTCCTGCTCTCACGTATATTTCCCAGCTCCCCATCTGGGCCCACCTGCCAACCAGCGGCAGCGCTCACCCACCACGCCTGCCTGGACAGCTCAGTCCACCAGGAGCCTGCCTGTGACAGCCCTCCGCAGGGCCCAGCCAGGGCCGACAAGCTGCCTGCAGGCCACCCAAGGGTCTGGGTGCAGCGCTGGGGTAATGCGACAGGACCAGACTCTAGGTAGGGAGGCCCAGACTTGGAAGGGGGCAGGCTCGGGATCGGGGGATTGCTGGGAGAGGGCAGGGCCTCTGGCAAGGGATAGGGCCTGTGCCCAAGCCGCAATGGGTGCCCAGGGGCCACTCTCAGAGCCCCAACAACTGGCCATGGGGAAGCCGTGCCCAGCACACCTGGCCCTCAGGTCCCTTTGGGGCAGACCCAGTTTCTCTACCTCGGCCAGAGCTTCTCATCACCTCCTCACTTGCTGGGCGTTTCAGGACCAAACTCTCAGGGTGAAAGTGAGGCTTTGTGTCCCCCTCTGGGGTCGCAGGTAGGGCCTGCAGGATGTAGGTCCTGCCCCCCTCCATGGGAAGTGGCCAGAGGCCTTGGAGGCAGGCATGGCTGAGGCACACAGCCCCATCCCTATCAGGGCTTCGGGGTGGGTGGGTACCCCCAGCAGGAGGAGGGTGGCAAGACTGCTGCCAGCTCTGTCTCTGGGACAAGTAGGCAGGTGCCTGCCTCACTCCCACACCGCCTCGGCCTCAGCTGTGGCAGCAGGCCCAGGCCTCTTGCATAAGCGCCCTGTGGGGGGACGAGGCTGCAGCAGTGCCGGGCCACCCCACCCCCCAGCATCACGAGTCTTCAGTGGGCTGTCCTGGGGCCCTGGGTGAGGCCAAGCCTGGCCCATAAATAGGGGTCTCCTCGGTGCTCTCCACTCCTGCACACCTCCCTCGCTCGCCCACACTGCTGGCACCGGGCCCCAGACACCTGCTCTGCTTCGAAAGAATGGCTGCTCAGCACACTCTGTGGATGGGGCTGGTCCTGCTGGGGCTGCTGGGCGGCCTGCAGGCAGCAGTCGAGGCCCAGGTCTCCGTGCAGCCCGACTTCCAGCAGGAAAAGGTGAGGGGCTTCCCTGCGCCGTCCCCAAGAGCTACAGCGCCCCGTCGGGGAAGGTCACTTTCCAGCTGGGTCTTCTCCCCGGGTGGAAGGAGCGAAGTTCCACAGTGCGCGGCAGTGCGGGCCAGGGACAGAGCCCTGCGCGCAGGAAGGAGGCTGGGCAGCTGCCCTAGGAGGCGGCCTTCCCTGCGCACCGCGCGTCCTGTCTCCCCGATGGGCCACGCAGACACCGGGCCACACACGCGCCCACGCCATCCAAACACGGCCATCGCTACGGACCACAAGAGCGCACGTTCCACACCTGGGTGCCAAGACACGGGTGGGGGGCGGTGGCGCACGGGGATGGCGCTAAACACGCCGCGCGCGGGGGACCCGCCCCGCACAGAAAGCCGGCGACGCACGCTCTCGCCCGGGAGATGCTCGGGGACGCGCCGGAGCGCCGGTCCTCCGGCCGCGCGCCCCTCCCCAGGGCCGAGGAGACCCACCCAGCGGTCCGCGAAGCGGAGCCGAAGACCCGCCCAACCCCTGCGGGAACCCGGCGTCCTCTGCCGCCCGCTGAAAGGGCCGGGAGCCCTGCCAGGGCACAGAATCGGGACGGGGTGGAGGAGCCGGAGTTGGCTGGTGCGGGGGGGTGATGGGGGGGGATTGTCCCCGGGAGGGGGCGTGGCCAGACGGGGAGCCGCGTACCAGGGGCGTGGCCTGCTTCTGGGGCGGGGCCGAGAGGGGTGGTCCGTTTGTGGGCGGGGAGACAGGCGCGGCTTCTTGGGGACCCGGCCGGGTTGGAGGCGGGAGGGGGAGGGGCAGAGGCGACCCCGCGGGTCGGCACCAGTGGTCCAGAGGGTCCTGGCCGACGCGGGTGGGGGCCGTTTGCCGCAGTTCCTGGGGCTCTGGTTCAGCGCGGGCCTCGCCTCCAACTCGAGCTGGCTCCGAGAGAAGAAGGCGGCACTGTCCATGTGCAAGTCGGTGGTGGCCCCGGCCTCGGATGGCGGCCTCAACCTGACCTCCACCTTCCTCAGGTGTGACAGCGGGCTGGTGGGCTTCTGGGACGGAGAGGTCTGGGAACACCCTCGGGCCTAGCCCCTGACCCTGAGGTCACCCACCTGCAGGAAAAACCAGTGTGAGACCCGAACCATGCTGCTGCAGCCCGCGGAGTCCCTTGGCTCCTACAGCTACCGGAGTCCCCGTGAGTGGGGCCTCCACCAGCCCCCTGGGCCCAGCCTGGGGGTGTCACTTGCCAGAGTGACTCTCGGCCAGCCATCTGCCTTGGAAATCCATGGGGTGGAGGATGATGGCCTCTCTGTCCTGGTGGGGTGGCCAGGCCTGGGCGTGACTGCCCATGCACCAGTGTGGGGACAGAGGGACCCTTCCTCCAGGGGGTGGGATCCTCTCTGGAGCCCACTGGTGTCTTACCAGGCCCTTCTCCTGTCCCCTGGAGTTTTCCCCACATACGCAGCCCCCAAGGCCCCTCCATATACTTCCTCCCAGTTCTCCTCCGCAGGACCCAGGGGCTTCCTCACCCCTCCTGGGGAATGGCTCCTGCAGGGAGACCTCTTCACTTCCCGGTTCTGGCAGCGAGTTCTGTGGCTGCACCAGGAATCCGGTTTTCTGAGCCTGGCTCCCCCAGACGTCTGGTTTGGGGACAGAGTTCACAGGCTGTGTAGGCAGGAACAGGGTGTGGGCTGGAGAGCAGTGGGGTGGGGGAGCATCCCAGGCAAGCCGAGGCCTGAGTGCCCACAGCCCACAGGTGCACCCCCTCCCTGAAGCAGAGCTGAGTCCCCAACAGGGCCATCTCTTGGGTTCACAGACTGGGGCAGCACCTACTCTGTGTCAGTTGTGGAGACCGACTATGACCAATACGCCCTGCTCTACAGCCAGGGCAGCAAGGGCCCCGGCGAGGACTTCCGAATGGCCACGCTCTACAGTACGTGCCCAGGGTGCTGCCGCAAGGGTGGGGCTGGATGCAGCCTGACCACAGGGGGCTCTCTCAGACTCAGGGAGAGCACACACCGTCCCCCCTCCCCGCCCCCCCGCTGAAGCCAGCTGTCTCCACCCTGTCCCAGGCCGAACCCAGACCCCCAGGGCTGAGTTAAAGGAGAAATTCACCGCCTTCTGCAAAGCCCAGGACTTCACAGAGGATACCATTGTCTTCCTGCCCAAGACCGGTGAGGCCCTAATCTGATGGGGAGAGGATTAAGGTCAGATTAGAGGCAGGCAGGCAGGCAGTCTCCTGACTGCAGGAGGCAGAGGGGAGGAGGTGGCCTCACCCTGCCGCCTGCTGACCTGCATGAGGCCTGGGCCTGCAGCCCTTCATGAGGAGCCACCTCCGTGGGGGACATGGAGAACAGGCACCCACTTCATACCAGGCCCAGCAACTCCCAGGATATGGGGCTCCAGCCTGGTGGAGGGTGTAGGATGGGGTGCCCATGGGGGACACAGGTGGACAGCCTGCTCTCAGCAGAGGTGGAGAAAGGCCTTCTCTTTGTTCCAGGGGGCCAGGGGAGAGGTGGGAGGTGATGGAGGTCTGTTCGGTTTGGGGGTTTATTCAAGACCAGCTCTGCATTAGGGGAGGGACAGGAAGCCCAGTGGGAAAATTGGCCTAAGCCTGGGGTTCTGATGACAGCCCCTCATTCTTTCTTGGCAGATAAGTGCATGACGGAACAAGAATAGGTGAGCCACTTTATTCATTCATTCATTCATTCATTCGTTCGTTCGTTCGTTCAGCACACATCCAGCCCACCCACTTTGTGATGGATCAGAGTCCCAGGACAGCCTGGTACTACAGACCCATCCTTCCTGGTGGATGTCCAGGACCAGGCAGGAGACATAGGGGCTGCCCACACTGACGGGTGCCCAGGTGTGAGGCTCGGAAGGAAAACCTGTCCCAGCCACTGGAATAGGGCTGGCCCCTGAGGGCTCACATTGCGGGGTGCAGGTGCAAGACCCCAGGCAGACAAGGTCGAGGGGCTGTACCACGGGGGCCATCTGGCAGCGAGGGGCGTCTGGCTCCTGGGGTGGGAGGGAACCAGGGTGGGTGAGATGGGATGGGAGGAGACAGGGGACGGATGGGAGGAGACAGGGGACGGAAGGGAGGGCTGAGGATGCTTTGTGGAGGCCGTGGGAGACCTCAAGGAAGCAGGCTCCAGGCAGATTGACCCCCCACCCCCAGGAGGGAGGCCTAGGCTGGAGCTGGAATCTGGACCCTGGGGCTGGGAGGGGTGGAGTCTGTGGACCCTGGGGCAGTGGGGATCCCAGCCCCAGTGATGGATCTTGTTCTCTTACCAGGGCTCAGGGGAGCCAGGGGGCAGAGGAAAGCCCCCCTACCCCCACCTGCTCCATCCAACTGGAGTGGGGGTGGGCTTGGAAGACCATGGCCTTCCGCTTGCACCCCCAGCACTCCCCAGGGCTGAAGCTGGGACCCCCGCCAGCCAGGTGACCCCCAAGCTCTGGATGTCTCTGCTCTGTTCCTTTCCTGAGACCCTGCCCCAGCTCCCCACCTAAGTGCCCCCACTCCCTTGGGCTTCATTCTGGCTCCATGGAATAAACACTGGAAGCAAGTCAGTTGGCTCCTGGCTGTCTGTGCTGGCGTCACCTGTCTAGGGCCATCTCGACCTCCCGCTCTGTAAAATCCCAGGAGTGGGCCTTTTAGTGTTTGCTCCCAGAGGGGTCCTGAGTCAGGAGAGCTAGGGGGGTGTCCCCCACCCACTCCAGACGACCATGGGACCCTGCCACGGCCCCACGTGTCCAGCCACACCCCCTGAGCTGCCACTGCCACCAGGCCGGTGCTGAGCTGGAGGGGGGTCAGTGACTCATCTCATCCCCTAGGCAGGTATCCTGCACCCCAACTACACCCTGTCACCCCCCTCAGCAGCAAAGGCCTGAGGCTTGAGGCCGCAGAGGAGCTTTGGACCTGTTGGGTGTCTCGAGGTGTGGGATTAACTCACTGAGATTGCACAGAGATAAGGGTTTCAGGGGACAAAAAGGAACATTTGTTTGAAAGATGCTAGAGTGTCTCCACCCCCCACCAGACAGACTGACGGAGTGGACTGGGTACAGGCCACCCCACATCCCTCTGGCTCTCTGAGCACCCCCTGCCCTCTGACCTGGGCCTCCAGATCATAGCCCTGTCCGAAAGCCAGAGCCCTCACACCACGCCCACACCATGCCTGGCCAGTGTCCTGCCCAACCCTGCTCCCTACCACATTCCCACCCTCACTGTGACCTGCCCACCAGCCCCCCCACCCACCAAGGCAGGCCCTGTAGAGGCACCAAGCATTTGAGGCTCAGAGGTGAAGGTGAGGTTCTAGGTGGCTTTCCAGGAGAAGGGAGCTTGAGGCTGTGCCTGGGCTCAGGGAGGGATCCCACATCCCAGAGAATCTGCAGAAGGCCAAAGAGGCAGGGTGGGTGAGCTGCAGGCCCCTAGCCCCGAGGCCTGTCAGAACTACCCTCAGCTGCCAGGCATCCAGCCCCACCCCGGAGGAAAGGCAAGGGTTGGCAGGGGATGGCGGGACTTGGGTTGAAGCAGCTGGGCCTGAGTGCTGCAGAGTGCAACTTGATCAGAAGTCTATCACGGTGGGTGCAGTCCCAGCCCAGCCGCCCCAGGGCATCTCAGGGGCATAAAGCCTACAGAGGAGACACCAGAGCTCTGCCCTGCTCCCGAGTCCCAAGGAGACCCTGAGCCACTTGCTGCACGATGCTTCGGCCAGGCCCAGGTCCCCATCCAGGCCAACTTTGATGCCAGCCAGACCTGGGGACACATTCTCTAAGTGCAGCACTTTGGTGCTTTGCCCCAGGTTCCTGTCCACACCCTCTTTGATCCAGGCAGGCCTGGGGGCAGGGGATCCCCCACACACCTGCTCTATCTGTCTGGAGGGGGCGTGGCTGGGGAAGACTGCAGTCCGCCATCCCAGCTTTTCCGTTGCATCCCCCCATCACTCCCCAGGGCCAAAAACTGGGACAAGTCACAGCTGCCTGCACCTCACGTCCCCCACCCCGACCCCACACAGACTTGTGACCTTGCCACAGCCCCACCCATCCAGCTGTCCCCCGGGCTGCCGGCTGCAGACAGGCTGGTGCTGGGCTGGTGGGGGCCAGGTGCTCCTCTGCTGAGGCTCCCCCTCCCTCAGTTCTGCATCAGGGTCGACGTGTGCACAGCAGCCCCCGTCCTGGCCAGGAAGCAGCTGTGTCAGGATGGAACGTGGTGGGTAGAACATGGTGGCTCAGGCCCAGGGCCCGGGGCCACCTCCCAGCCTTCCATGCACTCACCCTGCAGTTCCAGGGCACCTGGTACATGGTCAGGTGGTGTCAGATGACCAGGACTTCCTGGACTCCAAGGACACTATAAAGATGCCTGTGGTCTTAGTGACCCCCTTGGTGAATGGTGACCTGGCCCTCAAGTTTGGATACCCCACGTAAGTGATCCCATGAGCCCCACATCACACTCAGCCTCAGACAAGGGCCAGCATGAAGCAGATGAAGGTCCAGAGGAACCATGGTGTCTCCAGCACATCAGCCTCAGACCACGGGTCCTCGAGAGCTCCTCATGGCCAGTCCCAGACAGCAGCCACAGGGGCTCCAGAGGGATCCAGGCCCTGAAGGAAGCACTGCCTGATGCTGGGTGTTAAGAAAAGTGTCTGCATATCTGTGTCTGTGTGTGTATCACTGTATGTGACTGTGTCTCTGTGTGTGTCTATTTCTGCATGTATGCGTGTATATGCATGTGTCTTCTGTGTACGTGACTGTCCTCTGTGTGTATCAGTGTGTCTGTGTATCTGTGTGTATGTGCACGTATGTATGTCTTCCGTGTATCTATGTGTATGTGCATATATGTGTGTGTGTCTTCTGTACATCTGTGTGTGTGCATGTATGTGTGTCTTCTGTGTATCTGTGTATGTGCATGTGTGTATGTGTGTCTCTGTGTGTATCAGTGTGTCTGTGTATCTGTGTGTATGTGCATGTATGTATGTCTCCTGTGTATCTGTGTGTATGTGTGTCTCCTGTGTATCTGTGTATGTGCATGTGTGTATGTGTGTCTCCTGTGTATCTGTGTATGTGTGTCTCCTGTGTATCTGTGTGTATGTGTGTCTCCTGTGTATCTGTGTGTGTGTGTATGTGTCTCCTGTGTATCTGTGTATGTGCATGTGTGTATGTGTGTCTCCTGTGTATCTGTGTGTCTCCTGTGTATCTGTGTATATGTGCATGTGTGTATGTGTGTCTCCTGTGTATCTGTGTATGTGCATGTGTGTATGTGTCTCCTGTATATCTGTGTGTGTGTCTCCTGTGTATCTGTGTGTATGTGCATGTGTGTATGTGTGTCTCCTGTGTATCTGTGTGTATGTGTGTCTTCTGTGTATCTGTGTCTAGAAGGGAGACCTGGATACCTACATACTCAACTGTGTGTCCGTCAGCAGGTACTTAATACCCAGCCCACCCCAGTAGGAGTTTCCCACCTCTAAGGTCACCCTAAAGTCCCCATGTTCTCTAAGGATTGTGAGGGTGAATCAGGGACCCTGGGCTTAGAGACAGCGAGGTAGGCTCTGGGCCTGGGTGCTGGGCAGGAGGGCCGCTCAGGGAACTGGACTCCTCCTCTCCAGGCCTGACGGCCGGTACCAGAAAATGGACACGACCTTCACCAAGGGAGCCGTGGAGGGCAGTTCCGCAACCCAGGTGAGGTGGGCGGCCGGCAGGTCTGTGGGTGGGGGCCTTGGGGCTCTGCTGGCTGCTAGATGGGCACCTGGGGCCAGAGCGTGAGGGGTGCCGCCCTGAGGGGCAGGTGCCCTGGGGCCGGGGTCAGCGGATCTTGCCCTTCCAGCCATGGCCTTGACTGACATCCGAGGGCCTTCTCCGACTACCAGCACTTCGCCTTGCTATACTTGGAGACGTGGAAAGAGGACTGCGTAAGCCGTGGCTGCAGAACAGAGGGCGGGCGGCCGCGGGGTGGAGGCTGGGACACCCCGCCTTGAGGTCTGGAGTCTCCCCCTGTGCCTGCTCCAGAGCGTTCTGCACGCGGCAGGCGGAACCGCGGGCCCCTCCCTCCCTCCCGGTCTCCGCCCTCCTCCCCTTTGCCCCTCCAGCCCCTTCCCTTTAGCTCACCCGCCCTCCCCACCTTCAGCCGGAGCCCGGAGCTGTTTCCCGAAGGTGCCTAGAAGATGCAACGGCTGCCGAAGTCCGGTGAGGGTGCTCGCACCCCTGCTGGGAGGACCAGGCCCCGGGGTCGCCCCACGAGTCTCCTAGTCGGGGCAGAAGTGCCAGCGGCAGCCCCGGCCGGTCTGGGTCGGAGGAGGGCGCGGCATTGCCCAGGCGGGTGCTCGGGGAGGGTTTCGCGTTGCGCGGGGCGGGGCCTCGGCCCCCGGGAACGGGGCGCGAGGTGGCGCTCAGGCCCGCAGATCGCGGGCACCGGCCCTCCCAGCGGAGCGGCCAGGGGCTGCACGCGGGGCCTTCCACCTTCGGGGAGCCCGGGGCGAGGGCGGGGTCGAGCGGATCCGAGCTCAGCCGCGGGGGGAACCCGAGGGCTGCACGTCTGGAGGGGGCGGAGACAGGAGACGCCCCCCACCCGCTCCTGGTTTTGCAGTAATGGGTCAGCTGCTCCGGGTGCCCCGTCCCTCCACACCCCGGCCCCAAGCGCAATAAATGCCCTGAAAACCTGCGGCGCTGTGCGTCTCCTGGGGGAAGACGGGGGGGGGGGGGGGGCGTGGCGGAGGGGGCAGCCAGGTACAGGGGCGCCCTGGGAAAGGGCCCGGGTCACCCCCGTTGCCCGCTGGGCAGGCGTTTGGCCGGGCAGGGACCCAGCCTCGGCTCCGGGGCTTTTCTAGCCCCCCCACGGACCCATAATCCCAGGCTGCGGGCGCGGGGAAGGCAGGGATCGGACCTCACGCCACGCGCTCCCGGGCTGCAGCGGACACCGCCGCGGGACGTGGCCTTCGGGGTCCTCCCAAGCAGCGGTCCCAATGTCCGCGGCTTCCGCCCCCAAGCGCCCCTCGCGGTCCCCCAGTTCCTCTGCCCCCCACTCCTGGCTCCAGGCCCCGCCCCAGAGGCCTGGCAAGACCGACCAAAGGCCCCCAGCCCCGGCCCAGGCCCTGCCCACGGAGAGTGGAGGGCGAGGACAGGAGGCGTGTGCGTGGAACTCTGCCCTGCCCGGAGTCTCTGCAGGACCGTGGGTTTGTTTGGTTTTTTGTTTGTTTAAGATGTAGTCTCGCTGTGTCGCCCGGGCTGGAGTGCGGTGATGCCATCTCCGCTCACTGCAACCTCCACCTCCCAGGTTCAAGCGATTCTCCTGCCTCAGCCTCCTGAATGGTTGGGACTATACACATGCGCCAACACGCCCGGCTAATTTTTTTGTATTTTTTTTGTAGAGATGGGGTTTCACCATGTTGATCAGGCTGGGCTCGAACTCCTGACCCAGTGATTTGCCTGCCTCGGCCTCCCAAAGTGCTGGGATTACAGGTGTAAGCCACCGTTCCTGACCACAGACAGTACTGTTTTTTACAGAGAAATCTTGAAGAATTTGAAGGAAAATAGCCTTGCTGTAATGTTCTTAGTTAGCAAAATAATAATAATACTGGTTGCAAATCTGTCAACATTTTGATAATTGTTTCATCTGGGTGATGGGTCTAAGGGGCTCAGTGTGCTGTGGTTTCTGCTTCTCAGTTGGCCACAATGTTTTCCTTTTTTTTTTTTTGAGACAGAGTCTCACTCTGTCACCAGGTGCCAGACTGGAGTGCAGTGCTGTGATCTTGGCTCACTGCAATCTCCGACTCCCGTGTTCAAGCAATTCTCCTGCCTCAGCCTCCGGAGTAGCTGGGACTACAGGTGCGTGCCATCATGCCAGCTAATTTTTGTATTTTAGTAGAGACAGGGTTTCACCATGTTGGCAAGGATGGTCTCGATCTCTTGACCTTGTGATCTGCCCACCTTAGCCTCCTAAAGTGCTGGGATTACAGGCGTGAGCCACCGTACCCACCCACCCCCTTTTTTTTTTTGAGAGGTAGTCTTGCTCTGTCACCTAGGCTGGAGTGCAGTGGTGTGCTCTTGGCTCTACTGTCTCCAAAAACAAAACAAAACAAAACAAAAACCCCAGAAAGCCAGGACTCTGTCTTGCCAGAGTTGCTTTCCTTGACTGGGGCCCCTCTGGTCCAGGAGGTCACAGAGATAAGGAGTCTCCCCATCCCAAGGACCCCAGACAACACATGCACACCTGCACCCAACACCTGGGTGCCCAGGGAGTGCCTCTGATGCTCCTAGGACCTGCTGTGGACACCACAAGGACAGGGTCCTGCCCAGGTCATGTCCCTGTCCCCAGCCTGAGGGCCTGGCGAGGGGATGTGGAAAGGCCCAGAGAGGCAGCCACACCTTTGTCTGTGACCATAGCGTCCAGCCCTGCAGGGTTCTGTGAGCTCCTCCCAGCTGGTTCGGAGACGAGCAATGTAGAAATAGAAGACACAAGACATGAAGATAGAGAAGAGGGAGTTTGGGCCCAGGGTCCACCGCTACCCAGATCACAGGACCAGCAGTGGCCCCAGTGCCGGAATGCTGTCACTTTCATTGAGTTGCAAATCTGGGGCAGGGTAGATAGGGCGTGGCAGTAATAGGGTCAAGTACATCATGGGTCATTCAGGTAGGGGCTCAGGAATTTCTGACACCTGAGGTGAGGTAAGGAGCATAATGCATCAGCACTTTTTCCATACTTATCAAGAAAGAACCACAACATTAAGATTTATGTTACTATGACTGATTATCTTTTCTAAGACAAGGAGCCAGGTGCAGAAGCAGAGAATGAGAGTGGACATGGAGCGTGACCACTGAAGCACAGCCTCACATAAAGGCAGTTAACCCCTGGATGTCTGCAGGGCTCCCTGACAGCCGTCAGGCTTTACAACAAGAGTTTGGAGGAGTGGAGTTTTCTAACTTCTCCAGGGAAAGAGATGTCTCAGCCATCTTGGATGTCTCCTACTCTAGCTGGCCAAACAGCGGGCACTTTCCCGGCGCTGACAGTGCCACACAGCTGAGGCGCCCTCCAGTAGCCCTTATACGGGCGGGACAGAGGGCTTAGAGCACTTTGCCTCAGGGTCATTCATTTCACAGTGTCACTCCAGGTTCACACTTCCGACCTGAGAGGCATTAGTAAGAGAATTAAGATCACATGTGATTAACTGAGATCACATGTGAATAACTAATAACTACTATAGTTATATTTCTACGTACTTTCTTCTTCATTGTTTATATGGAAATAGGCTGAGGCCTTTTGCTCCTGCCTTGGCGCTTATGGGATCTCCCCCGACATGTGACCTGCACAGCTGACCCTCTGACATTTTGTCCCCACGCTTGGGCAAGGCACACTCTTCCCCCTTAGGGGGCATCTTCAGCAACACTATCTGAGCTCTAACTACCATTTGGTCAGTCTGTTGGTTGTCATTCAGCTTCTGTGTGGACCCAGAGGAAGAGGTGGCAGGTGACCCTGTGGGTGGCCGCAGCAGCATTTAAGCCAGGCAGGTGGGCAGGCTCACCCTCCTGAAGGCTGGGGCAGGCACCCCTGCATGCCCAGGGAGATTCCAAGCCTGGAACTGCACGTGGCCCTCCACAGCCTCAGGGATGCGCTTTCCTTCCTTCCAGGGTGGGGCAGCCCCTGGAGGTGGCTGGGGTCCTGCTGTGGTCAGCCCCCAAACCCCGGCAGTTCAGCCCTGGACTCCCATCGCACCCTTGCCTCCCACGCTCAGCCTGTTCTCCACCCAGAAGTCCAGGGTCTATTCACTGGAGGTCTATTCACTCGGCGCCCCACAGGGGGTCCTGTCGCACACTAAGTCTTGACGGCGGCCAGCAAGGCCTTCTCTTTTAGGCTCTCCTCTGCCCCACCATCCACGCCCGCTCCCTCCGTCCTGCTGCCAGCCCCAGGTGTGTCTCAAGGCCTTTGCCCAGGTCAGCCCTGCCCGGACCGCCCTTCGCCCAGGGCCACTCAGGCGCCCACTCCCATCTCTGAAGTCTTGCTCAAACACCTCCCTTGGGTTTTGGCCTCTGCTGTCCGAGCCTGGCCTGGCCCCACTCTCCTGGAGCTTGCGCTCCATACCTGTTGCTCCTCATTTTGGCCCAGCTCCAGGCGCTCTATGCCTTGGGTGCCAGGATAGCCCTTTCCTTTCCCTCCCCTGTTCTGCCTCCATCGCTGACTTCAAGTGCATGCGTCGGGGGGGCCTTTGTAGTCCCTCTTCTTCTGTTTGTGAAGCTTCACCCACCAACCTTGTGTCTCATATACTGTATTAACGTATCCTGCCTTTAAAGAAAATTGCTCTCACGGCGGGGCATGGTGGCTCACGCTTGTAATCCCAGCACCTTGGGAGGCTGAGGAGGGCAGATCACCTGAGTTCGAGACCAGGCTGACCAACATGGAGAAACCCCATCTCTACTAAAAATGCAAAATTAGCCTGTAATCCCAGCTACTGGAGAGGCTAAAGCAGGAGGGGGAGGTTGCAGCCTAGGCAGCAGGAGCAAAACGCTGTCTAAAGAAAGAAAACAGAAAATTGCTCTCCAAGAAAGAGCTGACGTGCTGCAGACTGGTTGGCAAGTTACATTTTCCAGACCTTCATGGAATTTTTTTTTTTCACATGGAGTCTTCCTCTGGTGCCCAGGCTGGAGTGCACTGGTGTGATCTCTGCGGACTGCAGCTGGGACTACAGGCAACTGCCACCACACCCGGCTAATTTTTGTATTTTTAGTAGAGATGGGGTTTCTCCATGTTGGCCAGGCTGATCTCAAACTCCTGACCTCAGGTGATCCACCCACTTCAGCCTCCCAAAGTGCTGGGATTACAGGTGTGAGCCACCATACCCAGCCGAGACTATTTAAATGAATGTTTTGGCCGGGCGCAGTGGCTCACGCCTGTAATCCAAGCACTTTGGAGGCTAAGGCGGGCGGATCACCTGAGGTCGAGAGTTCAAGACCAGCTCGACCAACATGATGAAACCCTGTCTTTATAAAAAATAAAAATAAATAATAAATAATAAGATAAATGAAGGTTTTGCAGTTTTCTTGTCATGTGTTGGAATTAATGTTTGTTTCCAGTCTTATATTAGTTCCTAGGGCTGCCAGAAATTATCACACACCTGTAGCTTAAAATATGCATTCATTTTCCTACAGTCTTTGAAGTCAGAGACCAAAATCAGTTCAATAGGGTCTGGGTATCAGCAGGCTGTGCTCCCTTCGACGGCTCTAGGAGCGAAACCTTTCACTCCTCTTCTAGCTGCTGCTGCTGCTTCTTCTTCTTCTTCTTCTTTTTTTGAGACAGAGTCTTGCTCTGATGTCCAGGCCAGAGTATTATGGTGAAATCAGCTCACTGAAGCCCTCAATTCCCAGGCTCAATCAATCCTCCTGCCTCAGCCTCCTAAGTAGCTGGGACTAGAGGTATACATCACTATGCATGGCTATTTTATTCTTTTAGAGATGTGTTGCTGTCTTGCCCAGGCTGGCCTTGAACTCCTGACCTCAAGCAATCCTCCACTCTGACCCCCTAAAGCACTGGGATTACAGGCATGAGCCTCCAGGTCTGGCCTCTTCTAGCTTCTGATAGCGGCTTGTGATCCTTGGTTTGTGCGGCATCGCTCTAGTTTCCCCCTCCATGCCACACTTCCCCCTCCATGCCACACTGCCTTCTTTTCGGTGTCAAGGATTCCTCTGCCTCAATTTTGTAAGACCACTTGAGACGGCACTGAGGGCCACCCGGGGTAATCCAGGATAATTGCCCCGTCTCAAGGGCAGGTCTGCCAAGATGCCTTTCTTTTCTTTCCTTTTTTTTTTTTTTTTTTGGTGGGGGTCAGGATCTCACTCTGTTGCCCAGGCTGGAGTGCAGTGCACAGCCTTTTCCATACAAGGTAACATTCACAGGTCCCAGAGATTAGGGCCTGATATCCAGAGCCTGCTACAGCCAGCATCTCAGAGTTCATGTGACAAAGTAGGGGCCCTGCAGTCCTCTCCAAACCTGCCCCACCCCAGTCATCGTGGGGATGAATCTCCCAGTTCCACTCTCCCCAACTGTGGGGGCCATCCTTGACTGTTCCTTGCCCCCATCTCCTCCTCCACTCCCAGCCCGTGGTCCACCCCTCCTGCACCTCTGCAGCCCCATCCTCTCTCGTCACAGCACAGAACTCAGACTTTACACACAAGTCGGTAGGGTCCAGCCCTACAGGGTCCCGTGAGTCCCTCTCTGCTGGTGTGGAGATGAGAAACCGTGGAAATCAAAGACACAAGACACTGAGAAAGAGAAAAGAGTTTGGGCCCAGGGTCCACTGCTGCCCGAAGCTCGGAGTCCGGCAGTGGCCCCGAGTGCCTGGATGCTCAGACTTTCACTGAGCACAAAGCAGGGGGCAGGGCAGGTAGGGTGAGGTAATGGTGGTCAATGACAGGGTCAGGTAAGTCACATGTCTTGGAGACAGGGGGCCCAAGACTTTGAAGAAGCTGAGGCAAGGAGAAAACCTGAGGCATCAGCACTTTTTCCATACTTGTCAAGAAATAGCAAGGTCACTAAGATTTATGTTACTATCACTAATTCTTATCTTCTAAGGAAAAGAGGAACCAGGTGCAGAAGCAGAACTTGAAAGTAGCCATGGAACGTGACCGCTGAAGCACAGCCCCACAGAGAGACGGGTCCCTGGATGTCTGTGGGTCTCCCTGACAGCTGTCAGGCCTGCCACAAGAGCTTGGAGGAGTGGAGTTTTCTCCTCACTCCCTGAGGAAGGAGATGTCTCAGCCATCTTGGAGGTCTCCTTCCCTAGCTGGCTGAGCAGCGGGCGCTTTCCCAGCGCTGACACTGTCACACAGCTGAGGCGTCCTCCAGCAGCCCTTATGCGGGCGGGACAGAGGACTTAGAGCATCTTGCCTTAGGGTCACCTCTTCTCCAATATCACCTCAGTCCCATACTTCTTGACCTGAGGCTTATTAGTAAGATTAAACATCATATGATTTTATATATATATATATATATATATTTATGTTACATATGAATAGCTATGTGATTATTTTATGATTATATATAGCAACAACTATGTAACTATATCTCTAATTTGTTTCTAATTCTATGTTATATGAGAACATGCTGAGGCCTCAGACCCTTGCCTCGGTTCTTGCAGGGTTTGCCCCCAGCATAAGTAGGATGAGCCACTTCTCTTTGCCCTGCTTAAACCTCCAGCAGCACCACTTCCCATTCATTCATTCACAATGTTTATTCTGTGTCCGTAAGTGCCAGGCATTGTGTAAGCACTGAAGAGACATATACACTGGCAGGTAAAACACATAGGAATCTGCCCTCCTGGACCTCCTGGGATAATGGGTGAAGCAGGTAAATAAGTGTACTGGCCGCTTACTGCAGAGGGACAGGTGTCCCCAAATGCAGCTGCTTACCCAGCAGGAGTGCGTTATTCCCCAGTGTCAGCAGGGCAGGACTTTGGGCCTCTGGCACAAAGTTTCAGGAGGCTGTGGTCAAGCTGCCAGCCGAAGATGTGGTCTCAGGGAAAGGCTCAGCTGGGGCATTGCTCCCTTGCTGGCCAGGGGGATCCTCTTAGGGCTGCCTCATGTCACACACAGCAATTCAAGAGCGATTCTGTCCTATTCTGGTTGCCAGAAGCAAGTCATTAAGTCCAGCCCAAGGGGAGGGGACTACAGAAAACTCTAAACCCCGGAGGGCATAACTGGGGCTAGCTGCCAGAATAAAGCTTTCCACAGTGACAAGTGTGAACAATAAGAGCATGAAGGAGAGAGGGGTGTGAGAGCTGGGCAGCTCAGCGCAGCACCGGGGAAGGTCTTGCTGAAGTGACGTTTTTTTTTTTTAGGAGACAGGGGTCTCGCTATGTTGCCCAGGCTGGAGTGCAGTGGCTATTCACAGGCATAATCCCACTACTGATCAGCACGGGAGTTTTGACCCGCTCCATTTCCGACCTGGGCCGGTTCACCCCTACTTAAGCAACCTGGTGGTCCTCTGCTCCTGGGAGATCACCATATTGATGCTGAACTTAGTGCAGACATCTGATCGGCATAGTGCATTACAGCCCAGAACTCCTGGGCTCAAGCGATCCTCCAGCCTCAGCCTCCTGAGTAGCTGGGACTACAGGCATGTGCCACTGTGCCCGGCTGAAGTGACTTTTGAGTGAAGACCCAAAGGAAGTGTGTGAGTCTGGGAAAAGGGTGTGCCAGGCAGAAGCAGCAGCACATGCAGAGGCCCGGGGCAGGAGCCAGGACTGGGAGTGAACGGGGAGGCAGGCTTGCTGCGGGAGCACTCAGATATGGTAGCAGAGCTTACCCCACTGGCCCTCCCCATGGCATCAGGCTGCCAACCCGACCTTCTTGCCAAGCCTTGAGCAGAACTGCTGTTTATGCAGCCAGCCTCCTGCCTGGGATCTCCCTGTCCTGGGGGGAGCCGTCCCCCTCCTTCCCACGCAGCACTGGCTGCACTGTCTCCTGGCACTTGGCCCTGCATGAGAAAGTGTGGTGTCTATTATCAGTCTCCCCTACTGGACCCTACAAGCTCCAGGAAGTCAGAGACCTTGTCTGTTGGTCAGGGTCCAGGCCTAGGACAACAGGTGCGTAGGAGGAGCTGTGTGTGGGGGAACCCCGCAGGAGTCAAGCAAGGGTCTGAGGGCTCAGTCTGCTCTCATATAAATATAGAATTAGAAAAGAATTCGAGATATAGTTACATATCATAAATTATACATACATACAATCATATAATCTATAATCTTACTAATAAGTCTCAGGTCAAGAAGCATGGGACTGAAGTGGCATTGGGAAAGAGGTGACCCTAAGGCAAGAAGGTCTAAGTCCTCTGTGACACTGGCATAAGGGCTGCTGGAGGACGCCTCAGCTGTGTGACAGTGTCAGCGCTGGGAAAGCGCCCGCTGCTCAGCCAGCTAGGGAAGGAGACCTCCAAGATGGCTGAGACATCTCCGTCCTCGGGTAGTGAGGAGAAAACTCCACTCCTCCAAGCTTTTGTGGCAGGCCCGACGGCTGTCAGGGAGACCCACAGACATCCAGGGACCCGTCTCTCTGTGGGGCTGTGCTTCAGCGGTCATGCTCCATGGCTACTTTCAAGTTCTGCTTCTGCATCTGGTTCCTCTTTTCCTTAGAAGATAAGAATTAGTGATAGTAACATAAATCTTAGTGACCTTGCTATTTCTTGACAAGTATGGAAAAAGTGCTGATGCCTCAGGTTTTCTCCTTGCCTCGGCTTCTTCAAAGTCTTGGGCCCCCTGTCCCCAAGACACCTGACTTACCTGACCCTGTCATTGACCACCATTACCTCACCCTACCTGCCCTGCCCCCTGCTTTGTGCTCAGTGAAAGTCAGAGCATCCAGGCACTTGGGCCACTGCCGACTCTGCGCTTTGGGTGGCAGTGGACCCTGGGCCCAAACTCTTTTTTTCTCTGTCTCTGAATCTGTGTGCTTTATTTTCAGTTTCTTGTCTCCACACCAGCAGGGAGGGGCTCACAGGACCCCATAACGCTGGATCCTACAGAGCTGGAGTAATACCATGCTTGGACAGAGCACAGAAGCCTTCTTCCCTGGGGATCGCTCTGTACTGTGACTTTTTTTTTTTTTTGAGAGGGAGTCTCACTGTCGACCAGGCTGGAGTGCAGTGGCGCGATCTCAGCTCACTGCAACCTCTGAGGCTGAACTACTCTGACTCAGCCTCCCGAGTATCTGGGATTACAGACACCCGCCACCACGCCCTGCTAATTTTTGTATTTTTAGTAGAGACGGGGTTTCGCCATGTTGGCCAGGCTGGTCGCGAACTCCTGAGTTCGGGTGATCCGCCCGCCTTGGCCTCCCAAAGTGCTGGGATTACAGGCGTGAGCCATCGCCCGGCCAACTGAAACTTCCTACAATTCGGGTTAGGAATCTTCGCGTTTGTACGTGAAGACGATGGGAGGACGGGCCTCCAGGATGTGCCCGCAGCGCCACGGAGGGAACCCGGACTCGGCTGGACGTGGAGCCGGTGGGCGGAGACGGGGGCGAGAGGGGGCGAGGTTCGAGTGGCTCTGCGCGCGGGCGCGAGGCCCAGAGCCCGGGATCGCACTGTGGAGCCCAGGCCCGGCGAGGCCAGCACTATGGGCAGGGCCTCTGGAGCTCTGACTCGGAGCACCCTGCTCCGGCCCGCCGGGGGTACTAAACCCGCCTATAGTCGCCAGAATCTGGCGGGGCTACAGACAGGGACCTTTAATTCCGCCCCCCAGCCCCGCCTCGGTCCGGAGAAGCCCCGCGACAGGCCTACGCAGGCTCCGGAAGCTGTTCTTCTGCGCAGGCGCCCTGAGCCCGCAGCCCCGCCCCTCTCCGCGCCAAGCACCGCCCCGCCGGGTTCGCGCTCGCTGGCCGCCATGGAGCGGTGGTCACTGCCGCTCTGCACGCTGCCGCCCGGCGCCGGGCCGCCCCGCTTCGTGTGCTACTGCGAAGGGGAGGGAAGCGGAGAGGGAGACCGCGGCGGCTTCAGCCTGTAGTGAGTGCAGGTCGGTGGGGAGGTGGGGGTGCGGGGGGCTTCGCGGGGGGCCTGACAACAGCTCCCCCGCAGCGTGACCGACGCCGCGGAGCTTTGGAGCACCCACTTCACGCCGGACAGCCTGGCGGCCCTCGTGGGTAACTGGGCGCCTGGGCGGGTCCGGGAACCGCCACGCCCCTCCCTGCAGTCCAGGTCGTCTGTGGGGTGACCGACATCTGGGATTCCTGCCCGCCCTGTAGCTGCAGTCTTTACATTCACTAGGGGTCCCAAGTGGATCTGGGGTCGGGCAGCTTTCGGGTGCTCCCAGTGGGTCTCGGGTCCTAGGTACCTGGTGACAAGCCCCTGTGCTCTCTAGAAAGCTGGTTTTGGCCTGAGTGCGGCTGAGGACATCACGCCCCGGTTCAGGTGAGACCCAACCAGGGAGGGAGGGTGAGTGGGTGGGGAGCAGGAGGGTCTGGCCACAGCTCTCAGCCCCTCTCCTCTCCCAGGGCAGCCTGTGAGCAGCAAGCTGTGGCTCTGACCCTGCAGGAGGACAGAGCATCCCTCACCCTTTCAGGGGGGCCCTCGCCATTGGCCTTTGACCTCTCCAAGGTACCAGGTCCAGAGGCAGCCCCTAAGCTGCAGGCACTGACACTGGACCTGGCACAACGTGTGTGCAGCCTGGAGCGTCGCCTGGCAGGTAGGGTTGGGAGTGGGCACCTCATATTTTCATGAGGCTCCCCTGCGCTTGCCTCCTCTCCTGGCACTGAGCAGGGCTCCCATGGGCTTTCTTCCCCAGCTGCAGAAGAGACAGCTGCCAGCCCCAGGAAGAGCTCCCAGCCTACAGCGCCTCAGCTCTTCTTACCAGGTGAGGCATGTCCGCCTATGACTCAAGTAGGGCTGAGCTCTTGCTTCTGGAACTCGTTTCCCTGAACAAGCCTCACGCTCCAGAGTCTCTGTCTCTTTGGAGAAGGTTGTGGCTGGGATGCTGTCAGCTTCAGGAGCCACCCCCATCCCGTTTCTCCCAGACCCAGATCCCCAGAGAGGTGGCCCAGGACCTGGAGTCAAGAGGCGCTGTCCGGGGGAGTCTCTCATCAACCCTGGCTTCAAGAGGTACCCGCCCACCAGCCTCCCATACCGAGGGTCTAACACTGGACCCACCCCTTTCTCTACACCACAGTGCCATAGTGACACCCCTCTTCCCTCCCAGTAAGAAACCAGCCGGTGGCGTGGACTTTGATGATGCCTGAAGGTGCAGCACCAAGTGTGGCCCTGTGGGGTATCCACCTGAGGGGAGAGGACCCCATCAGAGACCCCACCACCACCTCCACCTGCTCATCTTGGGCCAGGACTAAGGCGGCTCCTCAAGTTCCTTCCCCATCAAATAAACGGCTCCTTTGGCTGGAGGCTCTGGTGGGGCTCTGGCTCCTGGCATTGGCCTAGGAAGGGATCAGAGTGCACACTCTGCACTCTGAGTGTGGAGCCACAGCATGTGAACAGATGCAGCAACGTCTCAGCTCCCTGGAGATTTCCTTGCTGGGCTGGAGGGAGGTAAGCTTTCTCAGACCTGTCCAGCTATCCCAGCCCTACCAGCCCAGGAGCCGAGAGGGGCACAGCCAGGCGGGGTCCGGGTCCGCAAGGCTTAGAACTCTGTTCCCACCCTCCCAGGCCACACCCAGGCAAGGCACAGAGTCCTGTAGGAGATGCCCACAGAACGTCCTGTGCAGATCCCAGACCTCCAAGATGCTGTGGAAGTGGCCCTGTGGGGAGGGGAGCGCCTGACCCTGGGACAAGATTGAGGAATGTAGCCAGCCCCCATCCACCTGGGGCACCCCGCCCCACCCCGGCCTGACTGGTTTGGGAGCCCAATCCGGTCCTGGTGATCCCTGAGGCCACCTGTTGCAGGAGACCTGGAGTCTGTGCACTTCTTAGCGTGGGGGATGGGACCCGCCCGATCCTGGCTCTCCTGCCCCTGTGGTTCTGGGCTATTCAGCTGAGTGTCCCACCATGGGGTTTGGGGTTGGGAAGCACCCCCAACTGGGGGCAGTGATCATGGGGCCTCTGGCTCCTCAGATGACAGGACACGCTCACTTCGGACAGAGATGCCTTTATCAGGCGGCAGGGGTGGGGCGGGGCGCTAGCGGGGGTGCACGGCGGGCCGGTAGGCGGCCAGTATCTCGGCGCTATGCGGACACGTGTACTTGAACTCCTTCTCCTGCAGCGCGCTGTCAAGGTAGTGGCGGACTCCCCGCAGCTCTGCGGGGATTGGCGCCTGGCGGAAGTGCGCGCACACGGTCTGTGGGCGGGTGGGGGTGGGGGGGGGCGCGGTCAGGACCTGCTGTTCCCAGCGTCCCGGGCCCCCTGGCGCTCGTCCTCCCCGCCCCCGCTGCTCACGTCGACGATGTTCAGCTTGGGCAGCAGGCTGCAGTCCGCCAGCGTGAGCCGGTCGCCGTCCAGGAATCGGCGGCGGGACTCGCGCAGCTGCGGCTCCAGCGCCAGCTCATGCTCCAGGGGTGCGCGCAGGTAGCTGTCCAGCCTGGCGAGGGCGCGCAGTAGCTGCTGGTACAGGGCTGGGGGCGGCGGCGCAGTGAGGACCCCGCCCAGGGCGCCCTCCCGCCTGCGCATCCAGCCCCTTGACCTCGCCTCACCTTCGTCCTGCGCCGGCACCGGGTTCTTGATGAACACGGAAAACTTGTGGAAAATGTCATTGCCGGCGGTGTTGGCCTCCCTGTACCGAGGGGCCAGGCTGGGGAAGCTGCGGGGATGTCGGGGTGAGAGACTCCATCAGACTGGCCGCAGCCCTGTCCTGGCCCCACAGTACCCCGAAGCGCTTTCCTGGGCTCTGTCCTGGGCGTGACCTCCCTGGGTCCTCCCCCTTAGTCCCCCCACCCTGCTCTGTCTCTCACTCGGGCGGCCCCAGCGTCTCCTCCAGAAAGTCCTGGATCTGCAGCGTGTCTGTCTTGGCCTCGCTGTCACAGAGCAGGATGGGCAACTGCGAGCCAGGGGCGAAGTCCTTCAGCACGTCTGGGGACCTGTGGGCAGCAGCGGGGTGGGAGGAGGCTGGCCCACTGGTGTGTGAGGCCAGGTAGGCGTCCCCAGGATGGGCCTCACCTGCGAGTGTCCACAGTGGTGAGAGTGAAGGGTACGCCCTTGAGGAGCAGGACCATGAAGAGCCGCTGGCAGGAGGGGCAGTGCCCCACGCTCTCCCCGTCCTCACTTGCCTGGGTGGGTGGAATGGGGGTCAGGGCTGGGAGCAGACCCAGGCATCCTGCCACCAGGCTGGGTGGGACCTGCCTCCCACTGCCAGCGGGACTGGAGGGACGCCAGGGCTCCAGCTTGGTCGGTGTGACTTCCAAGTGCCCAGTGAGGGCCCTTGACTGGGTCCCTAGGACGTGGGGAGGGACACAGAGCTGCTGGGAGCTTGGAGGCCTGGGGCGGGCCTGGGCCCTGGAGTCTTAGCAGAGCCTGGGCAGAGGTCCCAAAAGCTGGCTACAGGGGTGGGGTGGGCCCCACAAGCTGTTTTCTGAGTGATTCACCCACCAGACTGGGCACTGTGGCTGGCAGCTCATCAGCCCCCGCCCTGGTCCCTGATCTGAGAGCTGAGGGCCTGCCTGGCCCAGCACCCCGCATCCTGGAACACCCACCTACAGCTCCTGGCAGGCTCCACCACTGGCAGCCTGGTTGGCACCTTCCCACCAAGGGGCCCTCCCCCAGGAGACTGGGCTGGAAACAGGACCAAGGCCGCTGGACCCCTCTCTGGGTGACTCTCTGGGTCCTTCTTCCCCTGGCTGTCCCACTTTACACTTTACTTAGCCTCTGTAGGGCTGAGTCCCCTTAGCCACCCACAGGAAGGGGTCAGACATTACTGGGGAGGCCCAACCCCCAGCCTGTCCCAGAAAGCAAAACCCAGAAGAGTATCCGCTCCCAGACACCCTCCCTACAGCTCAGTTTGCCCTGCACCTTGACAAACAGCTGGAGCTTGGTCTCTGCCATGGTGGGAGCTGCCGCGGTCAGGCGCGGGTGGAGACCTGGGGAGCTTTTTATATCTCTCTGTGAGCCCCGCCCTCCCTGGCCTAGGGGCCCGCCCTGTGGAGCCACCTAGGCGGGCAGATGAAGCTGCCCAGGGTTCAGAGCCGGTTGTCTGAGCAACGCCAGCCTGACCCTGGGGTGTCTGAGCCTGAGGGTGTGACCTCTGGGGGAATGATGTAGGGGGCTGCCCTGTACCTGAGGCTGATGCACACCCAGAGGTCCGCCCACCTGGCACTGAGTGTGCTGGGAGCCGGCGTGATGGATGGAAACCAGTGGGCGGGGCATGGGGAGAGCCTACAGACCAGAAGGGTGTAGGGGGTATCACCTGGGGAGGGGTGGCTTTGTTTCAGGACCACCCCCACCATGAACCCAAATCAGGACCTACCCTATGGCTGTTCCCTGGGCAAATACTCCTGGTCAGGGCCCCTAGCCCAGAAAGCCGGGGGTGGGGTGGGCAGGAGAAATGACCCGACCAGCCTAGCTTCTTCAGTTTCCCGGTCTGCAGCATCAAGGCATTGCAGGGATGATAAGCCCACCTGGAGGAGCCGCCCCTTCCCACTGACTGAGTTGTCAGGCAGGCCCTCGCCACTCAGGGTGGGGCTCGAATTCCAGACCTGCCTGCAACAGGGCGGGGGGTGGGGGGACAGCCTGGCTTTGGTGTTTGGCTGGCAGTGCAGGTCTCCACCCCACCTCCTGTCCCGCCCACTGGCACTCAGCGCAGGTTTCTTACCCCCACCCCTTAATCTTTTAAAAGAAGCAGCTGGAGGGGGTTAGAAGCCACAGGCTGCATGGCTGGAAGCAAGAGGCCAGAGGAGGTTGGTGGGCCGCAGGTGTGAGTCTGCTCTGGGCCTCCTGGTGTGACTGGAACCCACAGGTCAGTCTGGCCCTTTGGGGTCACCAGCTGTGCCTCCTGATGCTTTGGGGGGAAGCCCCAGGGAGGTACCCCAAGGGGAGACCCCACCCAGAGGCCAGGCGCCCACAGGATTGGCCTGGCCACACTTTCCCCGGAGGTGTGGTGCCCCAGTGAGCCTGGACAGGGTGGTTGTGGTGGCATGGCTCACCTGCTCACCTCCCTAGGGCTTTGGTACAGGCCCCACCCTGTCCCCACGACCGCACTCCAGTGCTGTCCCAGCCAGCCCAGTCTGACCCCTCTGGATTCCACGATGGTCGGGGCTCCTGGACACACAGTGCCATGGAGCCCTGGAAATACCATGTGGCTCCCCCATCGTTTGTCATCCTGAGCCCCAGCTCCCTGCAGAGCCTCAGTTTCCCTCCATTCTGCCTCCACCTCGATTGCAAGCCCTAGTTTTTCTCGACACTGGTGTTGGCTCCACTTGCTTCTTTCCTGAATCCTGGGCAGGCAAATGGCCACCCACGGAGAAGCCCCTGGACCCCCCAGCCCAGCTCTGCTGCCCTGGCACCCTGTGTCTTTAACACTGACAGACACACCCTCACAAATCCACAGGAAAAGCAATGGCACAGACAGAGGCCATGAACCAGTGGCTCAGAAGGAAAAAAAACACCAACAAGACACAGGAAGACCATTCACCTCACACCTGTTTCAGGAAACAAACCAAACCAATCCCGCTCATGGCTGCAGCGGCAGGAGCAGCCCGGTGTTCTGTGGGCGTGGCTGTGGACTGGGGAGCCGCGGTGGCCAACACTCCCCTCCTATGCCCTCACCCACTTGGGAATCAGTCCCATGGCTTGTTCAGTTTAATCAATTCATTCATTTATTTACTAGAAACAGGGTCCTGCTATGTTGCCTAGGTTGTCCCCACCTCTTGGGCTCAAGTGACTGGCCTGCCCTGACCTCCCGGCATGCTGGGTGACCCATAGGGTGAGCCACAGGGGTGACCCACCACACCCAGCCAGTTTCCCTGTGAAGGGCAAGTGAGTGCTGGCTGCCCCACTGTGTGGCATAGCTCTTTGACGTGGCTCCATGGCATAGCCACCACCCTGTCTATGGGACACTCTGGTTGTGTCCAGGGAGGAGGATAGAGAAGGTGGGTCCATGTGTGCCCACTGCAGGGAGGGCCTGAGACTAGGTGGTAAATGACCTGGCTGTCCCCTTAAATTTAAATTCATAGGCTGGAGTCCTAATCCCTAGTGCCTCCGAATGTGACTTTATATGGGCCTGGCGTGGTGGCTCACGCCTGTAATCCCAGCACTGTGGGAGGCCGAGGCGGGAGGATCACCTGAGGTCAGGAGTTCGAGACCAGCCTGGCCAACATGGTGAAACCCCATCTCTACTAAAAATATAAAATTAGCCGGGTGTGGTGGTACATGCCTGTAATCCCAGCTACTCAGGAGACCGAGGCAGGAGAATCCCTTGAACCCGGGAGGCGGAGTTACAGCAAGCTGAGATTGGTTGGTTTATCAAGTTAAAATGTGGTGAGTAGGATAGGCCCTAATCCACTATGACTGATGTCGGTGTAGACAGGTGAGTTTGGACACAGATGCACAGGGAGGGCCACGTGAAGATGCAGGCGGAAATCAGGGTGACGAAGTTGCGAGCCCAGGAGCCAAGCAGATGTTGCCAAGGCCCTGGGAGGAGGCAGCCCAGCCCGAGTGGCCGTCCCTGTGTCTGACCTTCAGGCTGCTGAGCAGTGAGCTTCTATTCACTGACGACAGTGGATTGTGAAGACAGAGTCTCGCCCTGTCGCCCAGGCTGGAGTGCAGTGTCTCGATCTCGGCTCACTGCAACCTCCACCTCCCTGGCTCAAGTGATTCTCCTGCCTCAGCCTCCTGAGTAGCTGGGATTACAGGAGTCTATCACCACACCTGGCTAATCTTTTGTATTTTTAGTAGAGATGGGGTTTCACCTTGTTGGCAAGGCTGTTCTCAAACTCCTGGCCTCAGGTGATCCACCTCGGCCTCCCAATGTCAGCTATTGTTTTAAACCCCTCACTTTGTGGCTGTTTGCATGGTAGTGCTAGGAAACTAAGAAAGTGGGGAAGAGCCAGGAAATTGAAGAAAATCAGCTTGTAAGAGCTGAAAAAAGACCCAAGGCGCCGTCTGGGAAGACCCCTGACAGGCAGAAACAGATTTTCAACCTTTGCTTCCTGTCTGTCCACGCTGTTTGCATTTTCTACCACAATTTCATAATATTTTGACGAAAAAGCAGTAATTCACAGCCACTAACCTTAAGTAGACCCGGGTTCCCCAGGCCAAGGGGTTATCTGTAAACCTCCCATACGCGGCAGCGGCCCCTGCTCCTGATTCATAGAGTCACCATCAGCAGGGCCAAGCGGAGGTCCTGGGGCTGCAGCTCTGGGAGTGACTGGTGGATTGAAACTCTGTCCCTCCCTGACACCCCTCCCTGAGGGCCCCTTCCAAGGGCTCTTTTTTTTTTAGACAGGGTTTTCCTCTGTTGTCCAGGCTGAAGTGCAGTGGCACAGTCAGAGCTCACTGCAGCCTCCACCTCCTGGGTTCGTGATCCTCCTGCCTTGGCCTGTGGCTACACACCCCAGCCGTATTTCAGCCACTCGGTCCTTTTCCTTTTTTTTTTTTAAGACAGTGTTTCGCTCTTGTTGCCCAGGCTAGAGTGCAATAGCGGGATCTTGGCTTACCACAACCTCTGACTCCTGGGTTCAAGCAATTCTCCTGCCTCAGCCTCCCAAGTAACTGGGACTACAGGTGTGTGCCACCATGACTGACTGGCTAATTTTTTATATTTTTAGTAGAGACGAGGTTTCATCCTGTTAGCCAGGATGGTCTCAATCTCCTGACCTCATGATCTGCCGGCCTCAGCCTCCCAAAGTGCTAGGATTACAGGTGTGAGCCACTGCACCTGGCCTGGGCAGTTCTGTTCTGAAGGGAGACACACAGCTGTGGGGGAGCCGGAGGGCTGGGGGCGGGTGTGCTGGTGGAAACCTGTGCAGAGCTTTCCCTGCTCTGTGCATGGAGAGGACCTAGAAGCAGGGAGGCCTCAGGGGCAGCATGCAGACCAGAGCTCAGATCCTGGTTCCAAAGCCCATCTCCCCTGGAAGGAACCAGGATTCTACTCTGGACTGTGTCCTCCCCAAAATCTGTGTTTTGAAAGCCTGGCCCCTGCCAGTGATGATATTAAGAAAGGGGCCTTTTGGGGGTGAGTAGGTCATGAGGGTGAAGCCCTTGTGAACAGGATCAGTGCCCTCATCAAAAGGACCCCTGAGAGCTCCCTTGATCTTTCTGCCACTTGAGGAGTCACACAACCCAGAAGGTCCCTCGCCAGAACCGGCTGTGCTGGTGCCCTGATTGTGGACCTCAGCCTCCAGAGCTGTGAGAAATGAACGCCACCCACCCAGGGGCCTTTGCACAGCAGCCCTGGTCGGACTGAGGCAGACTCAGAGAGATGCTGGTTCCAGGTGTGGTGCAGGGAAGGTAGGGACACACTCAAAGCACGTCAGGGGCTAAGAGGACACAGAAGCCATGCTGGAGGGCACCCGCTGGCCAGAGCTCAGGCAATCCAAGCACATGACGACAGTGGATTGTGTGTTACAAATGGTTAAAATGATCAGTTTGCATAGATTTTACCACCACCAAAACATTTTAAAAGAGCCAGATACGGTGGCCCACACCTGTAATCCCAACACTCTGGGAGGCCGAGGTGGGAGGAACCCTGAGCTCAGGGGTTCAAGACCTACCTGGGCAATATAGCAAGACCCTGTATCTACAAAAATAAAAATTAGCACATGTCTGTAGGAGACTGAGGGAGGAGGATCACTTGAGCCCAGGAGTTGGAGGCTGCAGTAAGCTATGATTGCACCACCTCACTCCAGCCTGGGCAACAGAGCAAGACCCTGTCTCAAAATAAGTAATTAATAAAAAAGATGACAGTAAAGAGTATTAACATGTGGATTTTTTTAAACCTGCAAGTCTGTACTGATATATTTTTTAAAGTGGAGGGGGCCTTTGGTGAGAGAAAATGCCAGTGAATAGATGCAGAAATGGAATACACACAGGAAATGGCCATTTTGCAGCTGCTGCCCCTGGGTGATGCAGGGGGGCAGGGCACAGGCTGGCCACGTGGCCAAACAGCACCCAGATCACTTCCCCACATCTGAGGCAGGGAGAACTGGGCCTCAACCAGGTCCACATTCAGCATCACCTGCTGAGGGACAGATGGACACCCAGAGGTGACTGCCACGGTGTGTCCCAGTGCTACACTGGCCAAAAACGTCCAACCTGCATCTGACCAAGAGGAAATGATCAGACACATCCAGAGCTCAGCCTGGGTCTGTGCAGCCTGTCCCTGCTGAGGGGGACGAATGTCAAGGTGGGGGCTGGCTCAGGGGAGCCTGGGGAAGCAGCGAAACACAAGGTGTGTCTCCTGGTTGAATCCTGAGTTTTCCTTTTTCCTTTTTTTTTTGAGATGGAGTTTCACTCTATTGCCCA